AAGCCTAATGCTTCGCCTCTCTCAGTGAGGGACTTTGTGGTATGCAGAGAGATTTTTACGAGGCTGAAGAAACAGTAGAACCAGAGGGCAAGTTTGAAATTGCAAAATTGTCAGAAGTTGCAGCTAAAACTGTCTTCGTTAAGCTGTTAGGTCTACTGTGCTTTCTGACGTGAGCAAGGGCTGAATTTCAACTTTTAAAATTTAGAATAAATGCTTGGTCTTTAAATTAGAATTGAAATACCTGTTCCCTTGAGAACTTTTTCAATTTTTTTTTCGCTAATAGGTATTTGCTTTTCATGTTTACGAGCTATACACTCAATACATTTGTCCAACTATTTAAATATAAAACAAGGCTGGACTGTAGCTGCGTGGTAGAGCATGTGTCTAGCATGGGAAGGGCTTGGATTCAATACCCAACACAAAAATGAAGCAAACAACAAAAATTAAACAGCTGTAGTCTAACTTTTTGATGACTTCCATCTTTGCTTATGTACTGAGAAACACACAAAATAGTAATATGAAAAGCAATATATTTAATGTAGTCTCATGTGTAACACTGGAAAACCTCATTGCTTTAAATTCTTGGAAGAAATGTTTTTCTTTTTTTTCTTTTTTAATACCACCTAAATTATAAATTATAATTATTTTCATTTTAAAGCATAGTCTGATGTGATTTTCAGTTGCCATATTAGATCTGTTCATATTAACAAGTGTATATGTCCTTGACATATAATCTTTGATATTATAAGGGAATTAATGAGATGTTAAACTATTTTATTTCTGAGAAGTATTTTGGTTCCAAAAGAACTTAGCCCAAGGGAAAGATTAATTATAGCCTAGAAAATATGAAAGGGAATTTAAGTAGAAATATCTTAAAGTAGAGAAAACTTTGAAATAACGTACTTCAAATGTGCTTATTATCACGAGACTGCCACAGAATCATAAAAATGAGCTAGAGTATGATCTACACTGCCCATATCACCCTAGTCCCTACCCTGCCGATTGTACTCTTTCTGTCTTTATAAATTTATCTCATTGTATGCATCTCTGTAATTATTCTGTTTAATTATATTTAATTCAGCTTAAATTTACATAAATGGTAGTGTATGCATATTTCTGGAATGTTGATGAATTAGTGGAATATGGCAGTTTAAACTAACAAGCTATGTCTAATAGAGACATAAATGTGGAAATCACTGAGAAAGACAATAAACATGAATGGCGTTGCTTATGAGTTACCATTACCTCTGAATAGAAAGTAATTAAAGGAAAAAAGTCCGGCAGAGTTGGGGGAAGATATTTATTATTGGAAAATCAGGAATTTAATTTTCAAATAGTAAGGCATTTAGGTCAGGTAATTTTTATAAAGTGACAGAAAAACCTGACAACATGGAAATGTTTTTCTTAAGCAATAATGGAAGTCTGAAGTAGTGGCCCATACATTCCTGTATTCCTGCCAGCCCAGGGGCTGTCACCCTCAATTTAGTAATGTTTTAGGGACCACACCTCAGGTAAAACTGGATCCTTGACCTCTCCACAGAAAAGAGTTTCTGTGCAAGCCAGTACGAATCTGAGTTAGAGATTATTAAATGGCATTTTTTTTTGTTCTGAACAACATTAAACTTCATTTAAAATTGCATAAACACTGTAAAATAATGAACAGAAAAGTTAAATACAATTTATCACATGTAAAATGGATCATTATATAATTAGCAAAATATCAACCCTAAATTCCCACTTCCACAGTGGGAATGGGATACAGCAATATTAATCTAATGGATTAAGTAAAAAACATAACTTTAAATTGAATAAAACTTTTCAAATAATTCAATATAGCCCTAGCAAAGCTGAGGTTTGGATTCAATGAGACCTGGGATAAAAATGGATATTTACCATTTTAGTTACTTCTAATCAGCTTCCAAAAACTAAGGCAAGTCTCCTTAATTCTGGGAAAGAATGTGTCTCTAAGTAACCATGGTGCTTTTCTTAACAGTCCTGGACAGGCAGTCAGTAGTGTGGCCACAGTTCTGCATCCTAGGCAAGTCCAGTGGAGTGTGATGGGTCAGGAAAGCACCAGTCTGTGCAACTCGTTGTCCTTTGTTGTACTATTTTCAAGCTTTAGAAAATACATTAAAAAAACAAAAAACAAAAAAAAAACCTCCTCCATCTACAACTCCGGCATTGAGATGCTAGTCAACACTTCTGCCTCTTCTTGCTGATGTCCCTCCTGATCTTCAGAAGGGAACGACACTAGGATGGGCATTCCTTTCAGGAATAAACAGTTCACACAAGGAATGGAGTTGGTAATTACAGAATATTGGAAAATGACGTCGAAAACGGAAATACCAGGACGAAGGTGGGACAGAGATCGAGTCTGAAGCTTTGGGACAAGGTAAAAAAAAAACCGAAATGCCTGGATGAGGGTGGAGTGGATTTGGAGTTTGAAGAGCCCAGCAAAACTCGGAAGAGGATGCCTCAGGAACAGCAAGACCCAGAGCTTCAAAGTCATCAGCCAGGCAGGAATCAGTTATGGAAAGGTCTAAAACAACTAAAGCCCCTGGAGTGGCCGCAGGCCCCCAGGAGCAGGCTGTAACTGGGGGAGAGTCTGCTGACGGTGGCAGGGGTCACGTTGTCAGTAGGATTCATTGAGAAAAAGACACATCACGACCTTGGTGACAGTCCTGGAACTAACACAAGCCCTGAACTCACCCCTAGAAAACAGAAGAATTGAGTTGGAGCTGGAGTTACAGATGTGTGGTTTTTCAGTGGGTGCAGGGATCTGAATGCAGTCACCATATTATACAACAAACACTTGACTGATTTTTACAAAAGTGTGAGCAAAGTAAACGGCATTTCTACTACAGAGTTTGAGCACAAGGGTTGAGAGAAAGAGGCTCTCATGAAACAAGACACAGCTGAGCATGAGTGTGGGCTTCCGTGAGCCCTTGTGACCTTCATATATGGTCTACCCACAATAAAAATGTCCTCCAAATCCAATACTGAATTGTACATGTGGGCTATGTTTAGCAGAATGTAAATGCATTTTTAAACATAAATATATCACTCAAAAAAGTGAACTTTTTTAAAAAGATTTATTTATTTATTATGTATACAGTGTTCTATCTGTGTGCCAGATCTCATTACAGATGGTTGTGAGCCACCATGTGGTTGCTGGGAATTGAACTCAGGACCTCTGGAAGAACAGCCAGTGCTCTTAACCGCTGAGCCATCTCTCCAGCCCCGTGAACTTTGATAATAGATTAAAATGAAGATTTTGTTAATTATTAATACCTTTTTATTATTCAGTATCCCACTGTTTTCATCCTGGTTCCATAATTACTGTGTGCAAAACTACCTATGATTTTTAAAAAGCTTATTTTTATGTATCTAAATGTCCTTTATTATGAAAATACAAAAAAAGATTTTTTTTTTGTTCTCAAATGGCAGTTGAAAGAAAGCCCAAATATGTCTTAAAAGATGTATTCAAACTGGCTTTAAATAACAAGCCAGGTCTGTGACCAGCAGAAACCATTGCTGTCCCAAGGCTCAGTGTCTCCCAGCCTGCTTCTCTTCAGTGGCAGCGCTGTGGCCATGTGCACTTCTCAGACTGTAGAGCCTCATAAACAGCAGCATCGCTTGCGAAAACGCAAAGCTGTATGGACTGAGAACATACTGTGGCTCTTTTACAAGCCTTTTAATTTTCATGTGTTCTTAATAACCATGATACTTCTTGAATATAATGAAATGAGAATGTAATTTAACATTTTTATGATGAAAAAGAAAGTATGTGCCCCTCCTAATTACAGGATGAAGGTACTCTTCCCATTGTGAACACATTACCGTCACTCTAAGCACTTGGAAAGGCAAATGGTACAGCTATCATACCTCATCTTACTATGTGTCCAATGTTTAGAAAGTCCTGCCAGTGAAAATTTCTGTTTGGATAGTGTGTATGCAAGTACACAAGTCCTGTCCAAGGATGAACAGGTGTTCTCGAGAAATCAGGCCATTGAATTAACATGGGCTGCACAGCCTGGATTAGCTAATGTCTGCCTATTGTAGGTAGACTCTGGCTTTACAAAGCGTGTATCTTTAAAGGTTTCTCCCAAAGCTAGTACTTCTGCTTTAACTGTAGTCATCTGTCAATGATTGTAAGGTGGGTAGACCAGCTACTAGATCCCAGCTGGTATTGGATGGTTTGTTGTTGGTTTTGTTTTGCTGTCTTTGGTATTTCAGAATATTTAAGAGAAACACAGATCTACCCTTGATGGCCTCCACAGACAAGAGCTGTCAGATTGATAGATAAATGTCTGTTAGCTGGTTACCAATTTTAGTGTGCTGATATTGGTTATCTTACAGTAATTAGAAACCTAATAAAAATGGAAAATAACCATTAATATGTGCATTTGAAAAACAAAATTAGAGCATGAGATATACTAGAGGAGCATTATAAAAGGAGTCCCTGGCGAATTTTTTTATCTTTAAAAAAAAGCAACAACTTTATGTGCATGAGTGTTTTGCCTGCCTTTGTGTCTGGGCACCATATGTATCCCTGTGCCCTCGGAGGCCAGAAGAGGGCATCAGATCCCCTGAACCTAGAGTTATAGATAGTTGAGAGCTACCGTGTGGGTGCTGGAAATCCATCTTCTACTTTTAACTACTGAGCCATCTCCACAGCCCCCTTGGTAATTTTTTTCTTTTTTTAAGAAAGGAAAAATCACTACTTGCTAAAGAGGCACATTCTACAAAATATCTAAATCTTAAGTGTTGGGTTACATTTGGAGGGGGATTGAGATTTCAGAGAGAAATCTCTGGGAACCACCTAAGTGAGTGCTGCCTCCTTTCCTACCTTTACCTCCATCCCAGGGTGTCGGGGTTCCATGCCACAGCTAGTCCTGACTGGCTGAAGCTGAGGATGGCACTGTGCCCAGCTTGTGAGAGTAAAATAACCTTCATGAATAGCTTTGTGTAAAAGTAACAATTGTACTTTCTCCTAACAGCGGTGACGTCTTACGAAGATCTTGGACTCTTTGCGTTTGGATTAGCTGGAAAGGTAATTTCATTGTTTCGTCCTGGGGCATTCTCTTCTCCTTCAAGTTCAAAAAGCTGTATATATGAGAAAGACCTTAGGAGATGGAGAGGATACAAAAGTAAGAAGAGACAGGACAGTGGGATGGGAAAATAAAGAAAAATGTGCTCCCCTCCACGGCACATATGTAAGCCAGTTCGGTTTCTAAGTCTTGTCACTGACTCGATGAGCTTCAGGAGTAATGGGATTCTTAGTTTTCCTCATTAATTTTGATCAGATCCTCTGAGTAAATCCTTAAAGGGAAGAAAACAGTATAGGATTGAAATTATAACCTGGCTATTTTCAAAAGCAGTAATTACACAGGCAGTATTACTTAAGAGCCGAACAGTGCTGAAAGATTGCCTGGCTGTCCCCTTGTTTACATTGTGAGAAAATGAAGGCCCAAAGCTGTTAAAGGACCTGTTCTCAACTGTTACCCAACACCAGTTCCACATCTGAGGACTGTAGACACTGCATCTGCTGGGTTTCCTTCTTAGACTAATGAAAATCAAAGCAAACTGTTACTGGCACTGGTTGTTGGTGGTTTTCTAACCTTACAGTTGGGGATAAACGTTTTTCCTGCAGATTACCAGGGTTTCAACAGTGCTTTTAGTGTTACAGTTAAGTTGCTTTTCTTCTGTTTCAGTGTCTGAAGAGCTACCCGTATTTTTGGTCCTAAACAAGAATTGATTGTAAAATAGAATTCTGATTGTAAATCTTAGTACTTTGTTTGCATTTGTTTTAAATTAACAAACAAGTAAGTCATATACATATATACCATGTACTTGGTACTTTAAAACAGGTACGCATTGTAGAATGGCTAACTTTGAGCTAATTAACTTACAAGTTGCCTCACACATTTATTCTGTTTTTGATATAAGTGGATGCCATATGTAAATGGCTAAACTGATTTCTAAGGGGTGAGTCTCAGAGGAAGATGCAGCCCTGCCGCAGGAAGAGAAGCTGTGTTTGCTTCCAGTTACCTTTACTCTTGGAATGTTGAGTTGGGTATGTAAACCTCGGTAACACCAGGGCTTACATCCTCATCTTATAAACCTCAAGCAAAACAGACAGCGTGGTGCTTGAGGGTATGGGTTTCGTTAATCGTCCCCAGGAACATTTTCTTCTTGGAGAGCAGAGTGTTTAGTGTGTCTGGTTGATTCCCTCCATGTAGTTTAACCAAAGAAGAAATGTGTTTGTATAGGACAGTGTCCCAGATAGAGCTGAAAAGCACGTGCTGTGCAAGCATCAGGACCAGAGTTCAGATCCCAGCACCTGTATCAAACCAGGGCATGGCAGCATCTTCCAGTGACCTCGGTGCTGAGGGAGGAGTGCAGAAGCGGGAGGATTCCAGGGTGCAGGGGAACGGCATAGAGGGGTTGCTGGCCTGTCAGCCTCACCCAAACAGCCAACTCCAAGTTCAGGGAGAAAGTGTGTCTCAAGAAGTAAGGTAGAGAATGGAACAGGGGAGGATTCCTGCAGTCAGCTTTGGCCTTCACACGTGCACTTCCTAACATACACGGAGCAGCCTATCTAATGCATGGGTGTGTGCATATGCATACAGCAGGTAGGTCCACAGCAGCAACAAAGAAGACAGGAAAGAGAACTCCCTGGTGATTTAATGTGACTGTGGGTGACAGTCCATGCTCATCACTGACACTAGCATCAGCTCACAGCAGTAGTACCATCCCTGCATGGCAGCACAGTCTCAAAGAGCGTGGACTGTGGAGTCTCTCTTTCCTGAATGTGAGCGGCTTCATCATCAGTGACGTCCTTTACATGCACTGGGCAGACCGTATCCAGAGTGAGGACTTTTTAGATTTTGTTTGTATTTCTTCCCCATCTCTATAACTGGTCTGAAATCTTCCCATTGTCTTGATGTGTGCTTGGATAATATTATTCTGTGAATCAAAGAAATATTTTTGAAAATGTTAAGGGATATTTTTTAAATTATCTTTGAATTTGTGTATTGAAAGCCGGGCGTGGTGGCGCACGCCTTTAATCCCAGCACT